AAGAAGACTCAACACCCGCTTTTTCAAAAACCTATTTAAGAGAGGCAGATTTGACAGCTGGAACTTCCCCTTCAGAGCATGGGTACAATGCAGATCCTATGAAATATGACAGAGTCCCTTTTGGAGTGGCACACTTTGATTAAAACTGGGTATAGTAATCAGGCGGAGATGGGCAGATAAAGTTGCTTTGAAGCCAGATCTGGCCCAAGGTCTGTCAAATGGCCACCCGATGTGAAATATATCCAGGCCCATTAGAGTTGCATGAATTGGCTGAGAGTTTGTACACCATCATCACTTTCACATCTAGGTAATGACAAAAAAGTGATGGATGTAAAAAACTTAATGAACAAAATGGCAAGCGAGGGAACTTTGCTCATCAATCACAATTCAGTAGCTAACTTAGGATTTCATGGCTCAAACTAAGCTCCTTTCCACAATGGACAATTATGAATTATGAACTAAGTCCCAAGTATGGTCTGACCATTACTAAATCTTCATTTTCATCTCCATTACCAAGAACCTGATTCCATCATCTTTCAGAATTGAACTAACCCCCTCATTTAACATCAAGATATACTCCCCCCCCCCCAGGAAACTGCTTTCTGTTCCAGTGTGTTTCTGTAAAGTCCTAATGATTGTGAGTAGACTGCTTAAGTACGCACTTTGAAATACTGTAAATGGGATGACTAACATAGCCAGTATTAAGAAGATTTCAACAGAACTTCCTTAACAGGGCAATTCTATTTTCCTGATCTTTGCTGCTAGAATGGGTTAGGTCCATTTTCTCCAAACAATGCCCATCTTCCCCACACCTAACATAGGTGACAATAGGATACTTCTTCCTGCTACTCCTCAATCCTTGACCAGAGAAATTGCTGACTGGGGAATGAGGTGTGGGGACCCTCCCATGTTATGACTCTGTGCCAGGACTTGTCTTCAGTGCAGTTCAAAAATCTAGGCCAGACATCATAATTATAGCAAGGTTCTTTTCTCTGGAATGTCTGTTACAACCTCTGGGAGCAATACGCGAAGTGTCTATGCACTGTTGAGAACCTTGATTTTCTTTCTTACAGGGAAATAGATGCTATTTGTGGAATTTACTGTATTTCATATGGAAGATAACTAGAGAGAGCGAAAATAATGAGGCACAATTTGCCGGGAACATCTCCTGTTCTTGTCTTACTGAAACAAATGAAGCAAATCCTAGCATACTCTGTCCATGGAGGATACCCAGTAAAACAGTTGTAACATTCAACTTATGGAGACAGAAGAATCAAGAAAATGATCACAGTGAACAAAACCTACGTTTTCTGTCGTTCCAGTGATCACGTGCAGCCCGTCATACGTTGACTTGATGTACATCCCCTGAGAAATAATGAGATGAGCAATGATTAATATACAACAGGCTATTAAGAATTTGCAAACAAGTGGAACCTGAAATCAAATGCTGCAGTGTGGAATGCACCTGCTCAGGGTTCCAGAAAGCAAGCTGAAGTCTCTTTTCATTCTACCTCCCCACCACCCCAATTTCCCATTTTCCCCTATAACAAGCAGCATCCTGTGGCCAGTAACTACGCAAGAAGACATTGCTTTCCGTCCCATCCTGTATTCATTACATGCAGCACTGTATCCATTCTGCTGCAGCCCATCTTGCACCCAAAACTAACTTGTTATCCACTGTGGTGAAATTAAGTTAAATTATGTTATTACATTGTCATCACATTATCCCTCCCCGTTCATTCACTGCAAAGGAAATGCAATGCAAATGAGGAAACATAATCAGCTGTATATCGTTTGCAGACTGAAAGCATTAGCATCAGCAAATACCAAATGTATTAGCTGGATTGATCAGTGTTCCAGACATAGGGAACTGTCAAACTCATTAGTCATTAAATGAGGGGTCTCAGCAGCTAGGTTTTTATCACAACACCAGTTTCAACTAAATAAAATATGCATGTTTTCATTTTCATATGTGGGGGGCGGGGGCGCCAAATGGCAAGGAATTGCTGCTTCCGTCAAGCCCTCCATATGAACTTCCAATGGTCATCACTGTTAGACAAAGAATGCTGGGCCAGATGGGCCTTTGGTCTGATTCAGCAAGGTAATTTTTGCCTGTCAGGAAGAGAAAGTGCATTTTGAAAGACCCGAGTCTACAGCTGGGATGAAAATTCCACCATACCAACCCAACCGCAATTCCCCAGCCCACTGATTGCCAGACACATTCTGCGGAGGTGCCATTTTGGCAAATGTTACTCTTCTCCCAAATGGCTATTGGGTGTTTCTTGAGCTGAAACCTCCCCCTGAATTTTTATTTTATTTTTTAATTCTGGGAGGAAAGGGGGGCTTCTAGTCATCAAGATAAGTTCTGCTCTTAGAATGGGAAAAGAATGAGAAGAATGAGAAAAGAGAGAGCTACTGTACCACCAGTGATAAGCTCCCTGGATCCTATGATGCAACTTAGGGATCCCAAAATCACTATCCGGGGTTTTTGCACTCCCCAGCCATAAGCACTCATTTTGAAAAGAGCTGCTTGCAAGAACTCAGCTCCTCAGCAATTCATGACAAGCGATTGTAAACTCTGCAAGACTTCAAGCAGCAAGTCAGAGATCTTCAGAACCTGCTAATAAAGTCTTTTCATTTTAAAGTGCTCACATCTACCATTCAGCTTTAGTACAAATCAATGCAAAATGCCTGAAAGCCTGATCCTATGTGAGCCATTGTATCTACAAAGGAATGGCTAGGATGGCAGAGGTGGGGCATAGCAGCTGCTGCCTCACTGTACTGCTGGAAAAAAATTCTAACTTAAAAGGAAACAGGTTTCTTTTCTCAAACTGAGCAAAATGTGTGAAATCTACCTGAGAGCTGAAATGAAAGTCTGTCCTAAAAACTTCCCATTCCCTTGATCCTCAAATAGAAAAAGCTAACGAGGTTGCTTTTGTTGTTTCCAGGCATTATCATTGCACATGAAAATCCAGAGACTGGGGGTGGGGGTGGGGGGACAACAGTGTATCAAAATGAGAAGCAGAAATGTGAATAAGATTTTTTTAAAGGAGTATTTTTATCACCAGAACCCACTTCTGTCATATTCTCTACGTTGAAGTACAGAGCTTCATCTCATTAAAAAAAATAAAAGTTGAAATATTATATGCTGTTTTTATTCAGCTTGTCTAGATGCATTGCTTTGTACCTAGAGCAAGATAGCTTTGGCTCCATTTTCTATTTAGGACAGATGTTCTGCTACATCGCTTTGAAACTGGCATGGAAAATGAAAAACAGGCAAGGGCAGTCTTTGCCAACCTGGTGCCCTCTGGAGATATTTGGGGCTACATTTACCATTAGCCTCAGCCAACAGGACCATGGTGGCTGGGGCTAATGGGAATTGTTGTCCAAAAGGTCTGGAAAGGGCAATCGGTTGCCAAAGGTTGATCAAGGGTGTAGCTAGTCCCCCTTGCTAAGTGGGATTTCAAAGAAATGGATAGGAAATAGCCAAAGAACATGTCTGGATGCCTGTTGCTAAGCCAAAGCTATGTGCATGAAGACTGCAACCTGTACACATTTACCTGGGAATAGCCCTATTGAGGGGTGTATGTGATGTTAGGGGAGGGGAGGTGCCATGTTGTGCTCCTTCTGGGGTAGTTTGTCCACCTTTGGTTCCCACCCTGCACTCAGCTCTCACCTGTGGCTTCTAGAAGCTGTCAGCAAGCGATAGTGGAAAATGGCTTTGGCTAGCCGGTTAAACCAAATGATGGCAAGCAATATTTATATTTTACATTTTTATATCTTCATTTTAGATCTTATGATTTATGTGGAAAGTGTTTGATTCAGTTGGTGCGGTTTTTGATGTTTTATTTATTGCTTATGACTACTTTTGTACTTTTTCATGTTGTAAGCTGCCTTGAATGTGGCTAGAACTATGGAAAAGTGGCATACAAATACAATTATGTATGTATGTATGTTCTGCATGCGGACGCGGGTGGTACTGTGGGTTAAACCACAGAGCCTAGGGCTTGCCGATCAGAAGGTTGGCGGTTCGAATCTCCGCAACGGGGTGAGCTCCCGTTGCTTGGTCCCAGCTCCTGCCAACCTAGCAGTTCAAAAGCACGTCAAAGTGCAAGTAGGGAAGGTAAACGGCATTTCCGTGCGCTGCTCTGGTTCGCCAGAAGCGGCTTTGTCATGCTGGCCACATGATCCGGAAGCTGTACGCTGGCTCCCTCGGCCAATAAAGCGAGATGAGCGCCACAACCCCAGAGTCAGTTACGTCTGGACCTAATGGTCAGGGGTCCCTTTACCTTTACCTATGTTCTGCATGCAAGGAAAATGCTCTGCCATTGAGCTACGGCTCTTCCCTCTTGTAACCACAAAGATCTACTTTAACATTTTCTTGCGCTCACTGTTAGGGAGAGTCTCTAAGGGCCATTTTATCCTTCATGGTAAGAAGATTCTGACACTAAAGGAAATGTATTGTTTCTGCAAGACAGCCTATGTCATGATGACACTGCTTCAGGGACCATTCCGCATTATGTTTAATCAAACAGGCAGCTCAAGCTGTACAAATTACCTGCACAGGGTTTTTCCTCAGTTGCCATCAGTTATGGGGTGGAAAAGGAGAAGCTGCTGCAGGATGTCTTTGGTCACACCAGGAAGTTTCTAATTTATTGTTATTACCAGCAAAAAAAGTCAGGTGTTCATGGCTGATCTGTTACAAGTAGTTCTCTCTGTGTGCATGCATGTGTGTGTTTATGTATTTTTATTGGGGGGGGGTGTGCATGTGCATGTGACCTCTCACTGCCAGGGCTGAGAGGCAGGTTTTGCCCCCACTGGAACAACAGCCCTTAGTGTATTCTTCATTCTTTCCAACAAGAATGGATGACAAGTGTGTAGGAACCCAGGTCACTACATCTTAGCGAGTTGGCTCACTGGTCCATCTAGCTCAGTATTGTCTTCTTAGACTGGAAGCAGCTCTTCAGGGTTTCAAAGCAGCAGCTTCCCCCAGCTATACCCGGAGGTGCCAAGGATTGGACTTGGGATCATCTGCATGCAAAGGCAAATGCTCTACCACGGAGCTATTGCTCTTCACCACTGATTTGATAGTTAAGCCTTGCTTCCCTGCCAGCAGTAACTGTGTCACTGTTAAACTCTGTGCTGGAAACAAGACAAGCACTGTTGACAGTTCTATTAGACCTCTTTTGAAGTTTTGATACCAATGTCCATGTTGGACCACCCAATTTATGGTGGTGGTAATCACCCCTGGAGGGTAGGCCTCAGAGCGGTGGTTAGTAAGGATGGATGAATCTGGCCGTTTCTGTTTCTCGTTTTTCCAAACTTAAATTCACATTTTCACATCAGTCTGCAATTTTGATGCAAACTTCTAATATACATGTTTACATGCAATTTTGCCTAATATGCTGATTTTTTGCAGAGCAATTTCCTCTAAAACAATGCTTTTTTGTATGTTATTTTAACTAATATATGCATTTTCATGGCATCACAGAATTGTAGAGTTGGAAGGGACCCAAGGGTCATCTAGTCCAACCCCCTGCAGTGCAGGAATCTTTTGCCCAATGTGGGGCAACATGGGGAATATGTGTGTACACGGTACTTGGCTGCAGAACTACACCGCAAAAGCTATGTGTATTTTAAAGGACACCTGTGCTTGCTTTCACAATTGTTTGGGAAAGTGTGGATTAGGTAGGTGGGTTTGCCTTGAAATGCAAACTAATTCACATTTCTCCCTATTCCGTAGTAGTGAGGATTTCTGCTCATCCCTGTGACCTTCAGTTTATTGGGGTTCTGCAAGGTCTGCTCTTGTTGCTCCATCCTTTAACAGCTTTGGCAAAAGATTTGGGACCCTGTGCACTAAATATGCTGATAATTTAAAGCTCTATCCATAGCTCAGTGAACATCTGATATGTATGCAGAAAGCCCCAGATTCAACCCATGGCATCTCTGGATAAAGCTAGGGGACACCCCTGTCTGCAACCCCGGAAAGCCACTGCTAAACAGTGTAGACAATCCTGAGCTGTAGGGGCCAATGACAGCTTCCTGTATTCCTATGTTCCTTTTCATCTGGTCCCAGGAAAACTGTGGAGGCTGTGAACTGATAAATGGATCATAAGATGATTGTTATACGTTTTATGAAGCAAACCGGTGTGTGATTTGAAAAGTTATTGTGCAATTTTATGATATCATGAAATAGACGTCTGTAAGAAATGGCTGATCTTAGCTTCACTTTTATTATCTGGATGTAGCTGAAGAAATAAAACTAATCAAGGTTTATTTTTAACATCTGTGCTCTTTCGCTACCCACCTCTCATGTTTGATCTTTTGTAAGGAGGGGCTCCTGATCCTATATCCTAGAGTGCTAATGAAATGATCCTTCGCCAAAGCTATCTGCACACACTATCCTAGGTTCTAGTTCTCAGTAGTACTAAAGTATGACAAAATGTTGAGAAAGGGCACTTTTACACCCAGGGCCCATTGTTCACCATTTCCTGCTCACCAGAGCAGGCAATGTACAGGTCAGGAGCCAAGTGAGAGTCAATGAAGTGCTAAATTCCCCTCTACTTTTCAGGAAGAAGGTGGAGGCTAAGATGGGTAGTCGTGTCCAAGACAAGCTCCAGACCTTGTGCTTTGAACTAACCATGGTCTTGGAACTTGACTCTGACTCTACCTGCCTGAGTGAGTCACCTTCAGGATTCTTTCATGCCCCACGGTAAGAACTGTGGATGGGGAAGAAATTTAGTTCTGTTTGCATTTTAATAAGAAATTACCTATTTCATGCTTAACAAACCAGTGTGTGTGAACTGAAACACAGTTCTCTTTAGAAAACTGCACAGCGGTGTTTGAAAAATTTAACAAAAAATTACATTACAAAAAGAAAAAGAAAACTGCACTTATGAGAAATTTGCAATGTGGTTCCTCAGCCAAATTTTGTGTACAAAAAGGTGTATTTTGGGGAAAGGTGACACAATAAAATGCAGTATACAAACATGTGCATATTAGGAGGGATTTGCACTAAAATGCTGGAAATATTACATGATACTTAAAAAAAAAACAACTATGCAAACTGCTGTGGAAAACTTAATTTAAAATTGGGAAAATGAGAAAACAGCACATTCACCCATCCCTAGTGAAGACTGGACAATGAGCTTTCTTGCATTTAAACACAAAATGTTGAAACACAAACTGTTTCAACAGCTATCAGAGAGTGCTGGGCAATACTGGGGGGAAGAGGGGGACATAAAAGTCACAAAATAATGCAAACAATAAACATGAAAAATAGCATTCAAAGATGAGCCACCTGACAACAAGCTACATTAAGCTCAGCTGGGAAAAATATACTAACAAAATACTCAAACAAAAGAGTATACTTCTACAGCTTTTAGGCCACCAGTGCAAAGGACCTTCTTCTGACAGTTAAAGTTCTAACTTCATACACCAAAGGACTATGAAATGAAGCCTGATTCAAATAATGCATTCTTAAATAGCCCTCTGCTTGGTTCCCCAAATTTATCCTGGGAAATGCTCCTATTTTTGCATTGCTGCAAAAACCTTACCATACAAGCAGAGCTCTTGAATGAAGTAAAAATAAAATTGCATTATTCTATACAATGTTTGTGCTTGGAGGGAAACAAATTATAAAACCCCCCTCATTGAAATAACTCATAGTTCTGCACTGTCTAACAATCATACAATGTAATCCATTCTGCTGTAATCTATGGGCTCCATCCACCAAACACTGTTCTTGTACAAATCCCATTAATATAAATGGAGTTTGCATAGGAACGACACTTGGTTGAATGCCTCCTGTATTGACAAAATGCTAGGTGAAGTGAAGCAAGAATAGCATATCATTCTGAAAAAGAGACATCTCTGTTGGTCACCAGGGAAATTTCATATATCAAGGATTTGCTTGCAGCAGTTCTTGCCAGAGAGAAGGGAGATTTTTGACAACAGCATTTTCTGGAAATTGGATAAGAGGGAAATGGACTTCCCATGTTTCAGGCACTTGAGTGCCTATGAATTTGCAGGAGCAGAGAGGTCACAGAGAAGAAGCCAGAAGAAGCAAAATGTTGTTGCTAGGAACCTGTCTGAATCAGACCCTGCAGAGATCTCCTTTGAGGTCCGAGACCCCCAGAGATCCCTCAAAACTGAGAAACTAGAAGAGCCTGTAACACCCCCAAGGCAGCCTGAAGGATTTCATCAAGAGACATTTATGCCCATTGGTTTCAATGGGTCTACTCAGAGTTTGACTAATACTACAATCCTCTTCATACTTACCTGAGAGTAAGAGCCACAGAATTCAGCAAAGTTTTATTCTGAGTAGACATGGTTAGGACTGCAACATAAGGCAAGCACTTACTGCCTTATGAACGAGCACATACAAAATCAACACAGATTGGAAATAGACTGGCCAATCCATCCCTATCATATTTAAATTTCATTCATTTCAATAAAATAAACCTGATTAAAGGGATGGAGGATAAATTCTATACTTCCCAAAACAATATGTGAACCAAAACAGCTATCCTTTGAAATTCACAGTTCTCTGTATTTTGCATCGTTGCTCTCCAACAAGATAATGTATACAAAAAATGTGTATATTGGGATGAAGCGTGCATAAAAAGGCACAGGTTAGTGAAAATAATGTACCAAAATGCATATTAGGGAAAACTGCTTGCAAGAATGTGTACATTAAGAGAAAGTGCATGAGAAACTGTATATATTAGGAGGAAAATCCCAAAGAATTTTCATCAGGACTTCCTCAAAAAAAAAAAAAAAAAAAAAGTTTGAAAGCTGATGTGAAAGGTGAAGAATCCAATACAAGACTGAAAATAAATTTGAAGAAATCAAGATTGCCAGGTTTGTTCAAAGCTACTAACTCTAGCAGGCAGGTTGACAAGTTCACTAAAATAAATGTGTAGCGGGATGTGGGACGAAACCTCAAAGCCTGGGTGTCCCCACCACTTCACAAGCACCCTTTAGTATGAGGTGAGCATTTCATACATTAAATGCCTACCCAGCCTTGCTGAAAACCACCTTCCTAGATTGCTATTACTTACCAACCCTTCACTGGGCATGATGCTGGTAAGGTGAACAACTTCAAGGTGAGCTGATTGAGACACCAGAGAATCGGATGAGAGCGAAATGATGTGATCACAGATGCCAGAGAGTGTTTTACACTGGGGAGAAGAGAGAGAGAGAACATCATAAGCTTTTTTAGGGAAGCACTAAACAACTCAGCGTTAAAACATTACTCCAAGGAAACAATTCAGTATCATGTATTTTGCAAAAACTGGCTTAAGACTCTACTTGCTACACAAAATAATAAGAGGCAAGCCCCTGTTCAAATGACATAACCAAAGTTAGTGTCGGAATACATGGGTGTGAGGAAACCTGCAGCAGGGGTAGCTAAATGGCAGCCCCTCAGATGTCACTGGACGACTCCCCAAATCCCTCACCATTGGTTATGCCTGCGGGGGTTGTTGGAAATTATAGTTCAGCAAAATCTTGTGCAAGGGAAAAATCAAAGACAAACCCACTGGCCTCTTACACATGTCCCTGCTGCCATTCTAGCAATCCCCACATATTGGGCACTGAACATCTATTTTTCGAAGAGGTCAGCTTTGTTCAAGTAGGCTCCATGTTAGATTAAGAACTCTGTAGATAAAGATTCTATGTTGTGCAGGGACACACTAGAGTAGAGCAGGCACCCCACCCTTGCAGGTATTCATCCCCCCAACATAGGGAGGGGGCTTTTAGAAATGGTGAAAGCTGCATTCATGTCATAGGTGGAAGGATCAACCACTCCTCCTTTCATGATGGCAACCACAAGTTAGTGGAGACTGAGTGCAGTGTCTCTGTCCAACTGAGAACCGAGGATTCCCACTCACAAGGAGGGAACTATGCATGCATAGCTTCCATGCAGACTTTCCAATGAACTCCTATATGGCCACCTGTTCACAGAAGGGTCCTTCTCATCCTCATCTCCAGCTCTGATGTCAGCAGAACTTTCCTCTCCAAGTTAGTTTTCATTTTACACAAAAATACCAAATTCGGAACATCTTCAGATGCTGTGATC